GGTTGAGTTGCTGGTCAAGAAGGTCCCATGGAGATCCCTAAACAACCCACACTGATGCTGACAGAAGGTCACTCTGAAAACTGAAAGTGGGGCCCTATTGCTGAGGAAAGCATCCACGCAGCTCATTAATCTTAGGTTGAGCTGGTGCAGATGTGGCGCCTTCACTCCTACATTACATTCTAGTATCTTTGGTGTGGGAAGGTACTCTGCAGGCTACAAAAAGGGAAACCTGGAAACCAACCCAGTCACAAAATCTTCCAGGTACAATCTGTCCTGCCTGCAAGATGTGTTGCAGAACTTGTAGGAGTGGCCACTCGATGTTTAGTTTAACTAACTAAACTAAGCCAAGCCATGAGAGAGACCCCGTGCCCTATACAGTCTGGATAGCCAGGAACAAAAGACTGGATAGACAAGAGGCCTAGGGTAGAACCAAATACAACTGGAAAAAAAAATCAATGAAATGATTCCTAATGATATTCTTCTACACTAATAGATCAGTGCCTCGCCCAATTGTCATACGAAAGGCTTTCTCCAGCAGCAGATTTGAGTGGTTGCAAAGATCCATAGCCAGTCATTATATATGCAGAGAGTCTAAATTGGAGGTCTCTATCAGGTTGCTTCCCTTGGAATTCTGGAAACCCTAGTGGAAGAGGAGGAGGAAAGATTGTAGGAGTCAGAGGGGATGGAGGACACCAGGAGAACCCAGCCCACTGAATCAACTGAGCAAGGCTCACATGAGCTCACAGAGACCAAAGGAGCAGTCACCGGGTATACGTGAGTCTGCCACAGGTTCTCCAATTATGTTACGGCTCTTAGTTTGGTGTTCTTGTGGAACTCCCAGCAGTAGAAGTGCAGGTAGCTCTGACTTTTAGGTCTACTTTTGAGACTCCTCTCCTCCTATTGGGTTGTCATGTCCAGCCTCAATATGAGGGGTTTTGTCCTGTCTTATTGTATCTTGTTTTGTCCTGTTCGGCTGTTATCTCTTGGAGGTCATCTCCTTACTGAAGAATAGAGGGGGAGTGGATCTGGGGGAGAGGAGAGGTGAGGGGGTGCTGAGAGGGGTGGAGAGAGGGGAAACTGTGGTCAGGGTATATTGTAAGAGAAAAGAATCTAAGAATCAATAAAAAGAAAATAGATAAATATTTTTAAAAAGCAAAAGAAAGAAATAAAAAATAAAGTAGGTTTAAAACAAAAACTGGGAACTGAAGTAACAACTGAGCAGGTACGGAATACTGGCTGCTCTTGGGTTCCCCAAATCCACATGGCAGCTGACAACAATCAGTAACTCCAGATCCACTGCTCCCTTCTGGCATCTGAGGGCACTGCATGCACGTGTCACATAGACTTACATGGAGGCAAAAAACTCATTCATGGAAAAATGGAAATAAATCTTTTAAAAGAGTTTTTTAAAGAAGAATAGTAAAAAGAAAAATGCTACAAAGTGACTGTAATTGAATCTATAATGACATGGTCTGGAGATAAATAGGTCAGTGGGGAAGAGCTACATTATTCCATTCTAATAAATGACAAAAATATATCTCAACGGAATGGCATAAAGCACAATTAGTTAATAAGTGATGCTGGCACAACTGGCTACCCACCTGGTAGAAAATGATTCTTTCACTAAAAATATGAATAAAAAAAGAATTCCAGATGGAGTAAATGCTTAAATATAATAAATAAAGCATCAAAAGTTAGGGAGAAAAAAACCTAGCACACAGCACAATGTGCTACTCAATGAGGAAAAGAAAAGAACCACATTTGAGCTTATAAAAGTTAAAAATAATTTATGTTGCAAAAACTATTATAGACAAAGTTAATAGTCTACCTCTATGGGCTGTATCCATTACCAGTATACCAAAAGGCCCTCAATATTGGTAAGAGACTATTAAACAATGGGAAAATGGGGTTTGTGAGAACAACCTGTGTAGCCAGAGGCATGATACTGCTCCAGCTAATTACTAATTAGAGAAGTGTAACTAATATAAATAAAAACTCAGCATTCAGCATTTACACTGGCCTGCCCTCGGAGACCGAGTGGCAGCAGCCAAGGTGTGACCCCATGGGTACTCCCTCCAGAAGTCATGTGCTCTCCCTATGTGCATACACTGTATCCCCTTATAAAGACCAATGCCTTCTCTCCCAGCCTCTTCCTTCCACTCTTGCTCAGAGGTTGCCTCTGCCCCGCCCCCAGAAGCCTCTCTCAAGTGTGATCTGGCTCATGCACCCCTTGGCTCCAACCCGCTAAAGTAACTTTTGCCATTAAATTATTAAAACACACTCCACTGCTAATTAGATAAAAGAAAAAATAAAACAATAAAAGCAATTGCTAACAGAATGAGGAGGGCAAGAGCATATTTCTACATCTAATTTTGAAAGCAGTCCACTGTGCTTTGAATGAGGAATGTCTCCCATAGTCTCAGGAGATAGACCCTTGATGGAGGGCGTACATCAGCAGGGGTGGGCACTGAGGTCACAGAGCTTGGCCTACTTCCCATTCTCTTTACTTCTGACTACTGATGTGACTTGTCCTTGGTCCTGCTGCCGTGCGCTCCCTGGCACATGGTCTGTGTACCCTCTGGAACTCAAGCCAAAGCAAGCCCTGTCTCCTGTAAGCTGCATTGTTGGTTCTTTATCACAAGAGAAATGAAACCACCACAGAGTCTGGTGAGTGCTTTTACTCACCAAACCTCAACAAACCACACTCCTGGGAATCCACCCCCTAAAAACAAAATAAAAAGACCGATCAAAGGCTGATGGCAGCATTCTTCTACTGTAAAGAGCAAGCAACAAAAACAAGCATTTGAAGCAATGGGGAAATAAATAATGGCACACATTATTATTGAAGCAGCCATGAAGAAGAATGTCCACCACTTGGCTCAGAAGAGTTTTCTGAGAAGCATCTTAAGTGACAAAATGTGACTTAGGAAACTGTGGTTTTATTTTTAAAATCCAAATCCTATTAAAAAATCATTAATGTGTATGTGACAAACTATGTCAGTCTTTGCCATTCTGTCTGTCTGTGTGGTTGTAAGGAACAGAGACAAAGCGAGAATGTGACCTGGACACAGGACAGGAGGTTGCACGCCACCTTGCTGGCACTCGGTGCAGGCTTTAAAGAGGAAGACAGTGACATGACTTAGGTTAGACACTTTATCAAATCCATGCTTCCCTGAGGACGAGGAACGCAACACGATTGGCTTGAACTCCCACCTCCTCACAGACTCTACTCTTAAACCACGTCACAATCACCTGCCTGTTCTGTGCAGTATCTCACAGTTTCTGTGTTTTATGAGCATCCTGCTGTTCATTAATGGTTAACTGTTAACTCATATTTTATATGAGATCACTTTTAGACACCACTTTTCAAGTTGGTGGCTGTGAGGTTTTAGTTTAAATGAGAAAGGCCCCTATAGGCTCATGCATTTGCGGTTCAGTCCTCCATGGAACAAGGAAGGATGAGAAGGCAGAGATGGGGCGGGCGGCCTTGTTGGAGGAAGCCTGACACTGGGGGTGGGCACTGAGGTTTCCAAAGCTCATGCCAGGCGAGTGGCTCTCTATCTGCTGCCTGTAGATCAGGATGCAGATCTCAGCTACTTCTCCAGCACCGCATCTGCCTGCTCCCCATCAACCTCTGAAACTGTAAGCATTGCCCCCAGTTAAACGTTTCCATTTGTAAGAGGTACTTACACAATAGAACACCAATGAAGAAAGGGCGCACAATTATACAGATAAATGCAAATGCACAGCTATATACAAATAAATTAGAAAACTAGGAATTCATTCATTATAAACTTACCAACTGTAAAAATGCCTATCAAATGAAAACATATTATTGAAAATGTGCCAGAGTTACAGTGGGTGATAAAAATGAGATATTAATTATAATATCTACTTTAAGGAGACTAGAGAGATGGCTCAGTGGGTAGGAACAATGGCTATTCTTCCAGAAGAATCAGATTCAATTCCCAGAACTTACGTGGAGGTTCACAACCATGCATAACTCCACTTCTGGGAGATCTGCTCCTTCCTTGGCATCTTTGGACACCAGAAATGCACATGATGTACAGACATACCTTCGTACAAAACATGCATGCACATAAAATAGCAATTTTTAGTGCACACATAAATGTTTGGAAGGAAAGAGGCAGCTGTTGGGGGTTGGGACAGGCTCCACTGAGGAGACGCAGAGAGGAAGTGGTGCCAGCTTTGCCTTCGTGTCCCTGCCTTCTGTTATCAAGCTTATTACAGAAAGAAAACAACCCAAAAACAAAATATTACTTTTGGAATGTGAAAACAGTAAAAAAAAGATAATTTATAATTAAAATATGATTTAGTATCTAAGTCATAGGCTGTGTTGAAAGACTATATATAATATTTCATGCAATATATTCGTTCATCCCCAGCGTGTTGCAAATGCTCAATGAAAGTCAGTTATTTTTATGTTATTTTAAAAGTAAGTATTGTAGGCAGCTGTGGAAACTGTGAGGCTGGAAAGTCAAAGCCTTTGAAAATGGTATCATGCAGCCTGGGCACTGTCACCCTCACTGCGCAATCCCCTCTCCTTTAGACTGTGAGGGCTTGTACTGTGATAACAATCGCATTCATTAAACAATTCTACCACTGTAAAACTAAAACTAAAATTAGGTAAACATACTGTTACACATCGGAAAAAAGATAGCAATCTTTTTGCCTTGAAGTCAGCATTAAGAACCATCTATAGACATTGCGCGCCATCCTAATACTTGAAAAGATAAATACTTGGGTCCTGGATATGGCGGACAGACTGGGAAGAAGTGCCACGGCTCGTCTTGAACCCTGCCCAGGAGGAAAGTTTACTCCCAACAGAGAAAGGCCGCTCTGACTGTGGCCTACCTACCCCAGCCTTGTTATGAGTCACAAGAGCGGAATCTGGCCATTGGAACCACTATTTTCCAATGAAGCATCAAACTATCAGAAGAGCTTCCTAGGTGCTGCAGACTGCTGGTCTGACTACTCACATGGAATCCACCTTTTCTTCGGGACCCTGCACTTGGCCCGTCACGGTGCCCTTGCTTGTGTTCTTCACCCAGCCAACCACTCCTATTTTCTTAGCTTCTCCTTCTGTGTACTGGTTCAGGAAACAAACAAACAAACAAAACAAGAGAGGTCAAGTGCATCACTAGAAGTGTATACTTATAAAACAACTCTGATATTCAGAGACCGCTCACCTGACATCATTTGTTTTCTAAAATATAGTCTTTGGGACTGCAGACATAGCTCTGTGGTTAGAAGCATCTACTGCTCTTGCAGAGGACTGGGGTTCAATTCCCAGCACACACGTGGATGCTTATAACCATCTATAACTCCGGTTCCAGGAGATACAATGCCCTATCTGGCCTCTGTGGGTACTAAATAAACAAGCAGTACACAGACATACATGCAAGCAAAACATGCATACATATAAAATACAGTCTATGTGCTTGCATAGCTGACCTATGGTCACACCACTGTTTGTAAGATTGGTGCAATCAGAGAAAATAGACCAACAGTGAGAACTGCTCCAATGGCTTCTACTACATATAATTTAATTGTTTTTCCTCACATCCATTAATGATCATTTACATTGTTAATCTGGGCTTCGTAGACTGATGAACCCAGGATTCTCGATCACTGATTTAAAAGTTTGTGATCAATATAAAATTCGTACAGGCAGGAATGGATACTGAATCATTTCTAAAATTCCAATAAAACAGACACAATTTTACTAATAAAATCAAACCAGCAAGAACACTGGCCTAGACACAGTGGTCCGGAGGCTAGTGCATAGTTAGATGGTTCTGGTACAGTTGGCTATGAACAAATTCAGGAGCTAGACTGAAAATCAAGAACACAGTAAAAATTGGGGCAATGAACTCTTAAGGACAGAGTTATCCAAAATACAGAGGGGCTTGACTGATGGGGACATGGTGGGACTCGTGGAGTCAGCAACCAGAAACCTAAAACAGTGATGGCCAGTTCAGAGGGTAGGTAAAAATACAAACTACAGTTAACAGTACATAATACGTTTGGAATTCATACAAGTTCCATAAATAATAAAACATAGGAAGCATAATAAAACCTTAAAGACAGTTTTAATAGAAATCACAATCAGTAATTTTAAGAAAAATTTTTTTAAAAAAGCTGCCATGAACAGGATATAAACTATAGGTTAGAAATGGGTTGGAAATGCCTCTGTGATTAAAATCAATTGTTAAAAAAAGGCATAAAAATAAAAGACAGGTCTCACTTACCATTCTGAAGCAAACACCTGAATAAAAGAAGAACAAAGAGAAACGTCAGCTTGTCTGCCTTTTATAAACTGTATTTTCTTCCATAACTTGCATCTATTAAAGGGTGAGTAACAAAATGAATCAAACACTCCTATCTGAATGTACTCAAAGGGTCTTCTTGAAAATTACTTTCTTTTAAAATGAAGACTTTTTGGGAAAAATACAATATTTGAAACTAATGTAGATAACAAAATGTTGAATTACACAGGCAGTGGTGGCGCCTTCAATCCCAGCACTTGGGAGGCAGAGGCAGGCGGAGCTCTATGAGTTTGAGGCCAGCCTAGCCTAGAAGCGCTAGTTCCAGGACAGCTAGGACTGTTACACAGAGAAACCCTGTCTTGAAAAACCAAGTAATAGTAATAATAATATTTTAAAATGTTTATTAAAAACACAGTTGATCTAGTGATACAGGCCCATAATCCTGACCACCTGAGAGACTGAGGCAGAGGAACCACAAGCTTAAGTTCACTGTAGGCCACATAGAAAATACAAGACCAGCCTGGGCAACTTTGCCTCAAAATAATAAGAACGGGAAGGAGGCTATCTATGCATGCAGGTCAATGGTACATTTGCTTAGCATGTAAGAAGTCCTAGACAGTCCCTAATTCCACAAAAACTAAATGAACGAATAGTTGAGAGTAGTTGACATAAAATGTACCTATCCTCAGTTTTTAGAATTTCTTTTCTAATGCAAGAACTAAATTCAAGTTTAAATTGTTTCTAGATATAGCCAGAATCAATGAGGCACACACACACCCATCACCACCACCACCACCACAATAGGTGCACATAATAGGTGGAATACTACTCAACAGTTAAAAAAAAACCACGCACAACCTTAGGAACTACATATACGAACCAAACACAGTGTGCTAAGCAAAAGAAGCTAAACTCACACATTATGTGTTCTAGAGTGGCAAAGCTATAGAGACTGAAAATAGATTGTCTATTGCCAAGGCCTGAGAGGGAAGCGGGTGTTAGCAAGAGGTTCAAGGAAATTCTGGGGTGATGGGTGCTCTCTGAACTGTGCTGGAGATTCCATGGCCCCATACATGCCAAAACAAACTGTGTGTAAGACAGCAGAAACATTATCAGTTGTCAATTATACCTTGGTGGAAGACAGCCAGGAAAAAACTCACTGGAAAGTCACAGGGAACAGACCAAACCAACCTCCAAGGAGGTCAAAAGACACTGTTTGCACACAGAAGCATGTGGAGAAGCATGTGAAGGCACCATCGTTTGGGTGTTTTATAACGCTGCAGTGTTTCCTGATGGCAGGAGACTGTAAAATCAAATGAATAGGAACAAAAAGAGCAGTGAGGAAATAAAGACAGTGCAATCTCACCAGCGAAATGTTATGAGACGATAGAAATCTTTTTGAAAAGCAAGTAGCGTGTGGAGGGATGAGGGGCGGGAGGACTGATGGGAAGGACAGCCAGAGAGCAATCTGTTATCTACGGAGGGAAAGGCATCCGCCTGTGCATATAAACGGAAACAGCAGAAAGCCACACATGTGGCTTCTACCACACAGCAAGGGGCTCAGAACACAGTAAGTACTGACCAAGCACACAGTCTGACAGCTCCAGGCTGACATACCCCCTCTGGACTACTCAACCTCAATAACCCATGCACAAGCAAGGGATAGGCCTTTTTACTGGAGTAAAAGGAACTGGAGGGTTGGGGTGTAGCCTGGGGACAGAGCACTGGCACCAAGTTCAAGCCTCAGCATCACAAAGAGGGGAATAAAAAAGGAGGACACGATCTCTTCCTTACTTGAACGTCCACAAACCACCAGACACTGGGAGTGTCCTCAGACCTCATCTCAGACTTACAGAAACTGTGCCTAGAATCTAGGGAACCTGCTGTTGTGTGCCAAAGCCAGCGGCCAGCGGCTGGAAGTGTCAGGGAGGCTTGCAAAGGGTTCTCACTTCAGGTCAGGTGTGGAGTTCAGCGTACAGCACTTGGCCAGTGTGAACAAGGCCCTGGGTTCGGGCCCTCGTGGTGGCTTCCCACTGGTGTGGTTCAGCTGGTGTGCATGACAAACCATCTGATCGCTTAACAAGTGGGTATGGCTAGCTTACAAGTCAACAGTACATGAGAAAACCCTAATTCACACTCTAATATGGCTTGGTTTGGTTTTTTGAGACAAGGTCTCACCATATAGCCCAGGTTAGTCTCACATTCACTGTGTAGACCACACTGGTTTTGAACTTGCAGTTTCTTCTAGAACTCAAAAATAATATCAAACAACAAAGACATACCCAACTGTAAGGATAAGAAAATGACATGTATAATCTTATAATGGATTTTTCAGATAAAATCTAAATATTAGACAACTCAAATTATTATTTACAAATTATTTGTGTAACAAAAAGGTTATTTTAATTCAGGGTACAAAGGAGGAAGTGACTGTGAAAGACGCAGTGTTTCTGCATCTAGGAGCTTAGAATCCAGGAGGGGAAGTAGAACCCCACACAGACAGAAACACACTGCCGCCAGAATCTCAGCCGTGCACAGCATGGCTACATGGCACGTTTGAGGCCAACCTGGACTACATGAGATTCCATTTCAAAAAATCAATATCAGTAAATATTTACAGCAGGGATAGGCAAATAATATAAACCTGCTTATCTTAGCATTGGGAGACAAAGGCGGGAGAACTGCTTCAAGCTCCAGGTCATCTTTGTCTTTACAGTGAGTTCTGCATAGGAGGAATGAAACCCTGTTTTAAAAAGGAAAAGCAAGGCAAGTAAATGGATCAGTGGATAAGAGCAATTGCTGCTAAGCCCAGCAACCTGAGTTTGTTCCCCAGAACCCACATGGTGGGAGGAGAGGATCAATTCTCACATTACCCTTTGACCACCATACCCCACACACAAATGAAAACATAAGTCAATGAGAAAAAATAGAAATAAAGGAAAAAACAATTTTAGCGATAATATCCATAAGCCTGGACACAAATGAGAGTTTATTAGGCAGACAAATCAATCTTGGTGACTTTTAGACACATTCGTTGAAAAATGGGCTTTCAAAATGAAGTATCTATGAAAATGTCATATGAAGCCTGTTATTTTGTAAGCTAGTTTTTAAAACAAACTAATAATTTTTAAACGAGGTTTTGAGAGTTCAGACTTCATTCATGAGCAACAATTAGTACGGCAAGAGCAAAGGGACATGACAGATGGATGGGCAGAGGCCCAAAGCTAAGATTATCACACACCGGCAAACGCGCAAAGTCATGCGTGGCCTTGGAAAATTATATCCCAACCCCAAACTGTACTGAAGACTTACTAAAAGATAGCTGAGTTGTGCTCCACCTCTTTCATTCTAGGAGAAATAGTTTCACACCAAAAGCTTCTGTACTTTCTCAACCTATCTACTGCAAGCACCTCCCAGACTCCTCCCCCATCCCGTGTCTACTGCAAGCACCTCCCAGACTCCTCCCCCATCCCGTGTCTACTGCAAGCACCTCCCAGACTCCTCCCCCATCCCGTGTCTACTGCAAGCACCTCCCAGACTCCCTCCCCACATCCCGTGTCCATTTCCACCTTCTACTTACTCGTCACAAACCAGGCAAGGTGGTTTTCTTTCCTCAAATAAAACAAAACCACCCCTTCCTAAGCTTAAAATCCTCAGGATACTGAAAATAAAATGAATTCTGGTCACCACATCCTCTATGACCTTACTAGCCCTTTATCTCTCAGTTGGCCATTCCCCTGGCTGTGCTGCTGTTTGGGGAGGTGACGGGACCCTAGGGGTAGAGCCTTACTGGAGGAAGGATGCCACAGGCGGGGAGGGGGGGGCAGATTTTGGGGATTTAAAGCCTCACTCCACTTCCAGTTCAGTTATTCTTTTTACTGCACACAGTTGAAGGCATAATCTCTCAGCTTCTGTCACATCAATTAGAATTTAAATTTACTTTCATATATAAGGATAATACAGTTATTGCATTCAAAGTTCTGAAATGAATCTCAAACATCAAGAATTCTATACTGATTCTAGAAGAACTTTACATAAGTAATAATACAGTGACTGAAAAGATAGCATGTATCCATGCCTATAGTTATCTGTGTAAATGTATACATCAGTACACAAACATGATTATACACATACAATAAAAAGACAGCAGAAAGTTTCTAAATAATGCCTAAATTGACATTGGCAGATATAGAACACTTGGTGTGCATGCACACACGCACACACGCACGCACACACACATACACACACACAAATAAATTTTTAAGTTGGGTGTCTTGTAGAATATAGACAACTTGAGGTGGAAAATTGAACAAGATATGGTAGCTACTGAATTTCCATTTTGACGTTGATTTGTTGCAAAACCAAGCACACATGTTAGTTTGATTTAAACTCCAAGGTTTTAAATTTAAAAGTATTTGCAACTATAAATGGTTAGCTCTCTCTCTCTCTCTCTCTCTCTCTCTCTCTCTCTCACACACACACACACACACACACACACAATCTTAAAATTACTAAAATTACTAAATAACTACAGGATTTAAAGAACATAGTTTCGAGCCAAGTTCATATTTCTTGAGCAACTGTCTAACCCGTATCACTGCTGAGTGATATTTGGGGGACAGGGGACCAGATGACTTCTGCATGAAATATGTAATAAATACTTAATAGAAATTTAAATTGTCTTCATTGTATACCTAATGTTTCAAAGTTAAGACCACTTGGCTGTTGTGTAAAGTCCTTAAATACTAATTGGGTCACTGCAACCGCGAGACCTCAGATGTGACTTGTGAGAGCTTCACTGTGCCAGGAGACAGAGGCAAAAGTCGGGGATGCCATGTGAGTCAGGACTGACAAGTGGCCTTTTGGAAGCAGAACTCAGTAGTGGGGATTTCCCAGGACTTTACGTTTATAGCTGGAGAAGAAAACCTCTTGCGCCCTAGCAGGACTCCTCCCCGGGGATGTGCGACTCATCTCATGAATTGAGGAGACACATGCCTTGCCCTCGTGCTCTGAAGGTGCTCACATGCAATCTGTAACACACGTTATTATTAAGTCCCTTGTGGACACACACATGCCACTTCCCTGTCAACACTTTAGAGAATGAAGGAGGAGATTGGTTATTGGGCCCTTTACTTTAAATCCTTAGAAGGAATGTGTGTCAGGTGGATCTCCAGTTCATTAACTTTTTGAAGCAGTGAGCCATGTAGAAGTCAGCAAAGCTCCACAGCCCACGTGAAGTCTTCTGGAATCTTTCCGAGAGGCCTGACCCTAGTTTCATGTGCACTGTGGAGTGGACAGCCATCGAAATGGAAACAAAAGGCAGAGGTGCAGACACATTTGCTGCGGTCCGTCAGCTGTGGCTGGAGCAGAACACGCCACTGCTGGAGAGGCCTTTAAAGCTCCCTGCCCCCACCCTGCTTCCACCTCACTTGGGAAAGAGAAGAGGAACTGATGTGGCACACTGCTCTGGAAACTGGGACGGACATAGGCCCTATCAGTCAGGAAGGACGCAAGGGCAACTGTCACTCAGGCAGGCTCAGTGAGCAGCAACCTGCTCCTTACTCGATGAAAGAGAGACGGTGAGAAAACTGAATATCTGCAAAAGAAACATACTCAAGTCTACAAGGAAACACTGGCAATCAAAGAAGAAGCCATATGAAGAAGTTAAATATCGGAATCCTTTTTTGTAACATATTTGCATACTATAATATATGCCTCTATCTTAGGATTTGAATGACTATGCCAGCCTGAACCCAGGAAGTGAGCAAGTCACTGCTCTACATCTAATTCTTTAATGATTTCAAAATGGTGTTCATTAATTACATAAAATGTGTTTATATGGGGTCACATGTGTATAACATATTGTGGACATATTCAAACCCTCACTGTCTTTCCTGTCTCCTCGCAGACTTTCCACTGATTGGTCACCTTCCCTTAATAACTTTGAGCATGTTTAATTCCCAGAAAAGACTGCCTTTTAAAGACTAAAATTCTGCTTTACCTTTCTCCATGGTTCCTTAGAGCTCCAGGTCATGTTAGCATCTTTCAAATGGTTGAAACAGCCCCCACACCATCTCTTCACAGTTTACTTCAAGACAATTTAAAGTCCCTACCAGAGGCACAAGCCCTCAGCCTGACCTTCAAAATATTGCCCTTCCTGAGAGAGAGACACAGAGCTGGGTACTCAAATAACTGTGGGGTAAAAGCACAGATGAGAGGACATGACGTGGGGGATGCAGCAGAACTGCAACAAAAGGGAATAACAAATGTCAGGTGTGAGAGTCGGCATCGTTACACATCTTGACTCTAATGTACTTAAATTTTTAACTTTGAAAATGCAGGTTTTCTATTTATCTGTCTATGCAAGGGAAGATATGTATGTGTTGATCATATGATGAGACCATTAGTAATTCATCACGGTTTAGATTTGAAGTAATATTTCTTTTTATTTGTCTTTCTCTTCCCTCCTTCAACCCCCTTCCCCTAGATCTTTCTTTTCTTTGAGGCAAGATATCATTACGTAGCCCAGCTATGTATCTGGCCTTGACTTTGTGATCCTCCTGCCTCAGTTTCCTGATTGATGAGATTACAGGTATGTATGCACCACTATGCATACAAAGCTTAAACAAACTTTGAGAAAAACTATTTATATTACATTCTAATAAACTTGTCCTATTCTAAGACCCAGTTACTACTGTCCAAAACAAACTCCTGGTACTTGTAAACCAGCACATGGCCAGGACACATTTCTTTTTTTTTTTTTCTTTGTGTATCTGAACTTTATTTTTTTAATTGTTTTTATTGAAATATATATATATATAATATATATATTTTACTCCACTCCACCCAGTTCCTTTCCCCTCCCCTTCAGCCCTCTCCCATGATCTCCTAGTTCCAATTTACTCAGGAGATCTTGTCTTTTTCTACTTCCCATGCCAATTAGATCCATGTATGTCTCTCTTAGAGTCCTCTTTGTTGTCTAGGATCTCTGGAATTGTGAATTCTAGGTTGGTTTTTCTTTGCTTTATGTCTTTATGAGTGAGTACATATGATATTTGTCTTTCAGGGTCTGGGTTACCTCACTCAATATGATGTTTTCTAGATCCACCCATTTACCCACAAATTTCAAGATGTCATTAGT